GTGTGTTTTGATCTGCCGCGCTGCCTCTGTTGAGTGCCGGTAAATTCTGTACTGTGCTGTTGAGCTGCAGATCAGAATTAATCAGAAAGGAGAAGAGTTTCACACTGCTTGGTGCTTCCATCATGCCATGTTGTTTTTGTACAGGAGGAAGGTGACACATCTGTTCTCTTTCACTGGTCTGTCCTTTGTTTTTCTCTGCTTACTGCCTTAGGCATTTTTTTGTTTTTGGGTTTGTTTTTGTGGTGTTTTGGGTGGTGGTTGATGGGGGTTGGTACGGTTTCGACCTATGGGTGTCTTTCGCGTTTTTGCCGCTCCTTTTCCACCTTCTGGAGTCAGGTGGTTGGTTTTTTGTTCCTATCCACGGGGGTGTTGTCAGTTCATGTTCCCTAGGATGAGTTGTTGATATTATATGGTAATATGTTGTCCATGGTGTGGAATAATATCCGTGGTTTTTTGTGTTCGGGAACGCAGAGTGACACTTGTTCAGTAAGCTGTTAATTATGTTATCAGATAGGGAAATGGTGACTCAACTGTTATCTGTATGCTGAGTGTAATGTTATTATTTTTTTGTCTAGCTTCCAGAAATCTATGAGGACGAGGCTTGTGTGGTCTGGTTGTTGTTGTGGATTGTGGTGTGTGAGTGGTTGTGTGGAGGTGTGTGTAGCGGTGTGTTTGGTATGTCGTGTGTTGGGACGTGTGTGTACATATATATGGCGGCGGGAGCGGCATACAGGTGGTTTTTGGTGAGAGAAGTTAATGGGTAATTAAGTGTGCAGCATTGTAAAGTGAATTGGTAGATTAATGAGAGGGATGGGTGACTTCTGAGGGATAATTTTGACTGGCGCATGTGTGATTGTGAAAGTACAGTATGGGTGTGTTTTTGGTTTTGACGAGACGTCTTGTGCATCTGAAAGGAGGTGGTATATATTATTAGTTTTAGGATAGGGGGCAGGGTGATTCATCGAGTCAATATACTTTGTGTGATTTAGGTGGTATAATAGTTAGCCTAGGGTCGTATACGTTGCGTTTTCCTCAGCCTCATGGCAGTGATTTCCCCAGTTTGTTAATGGATAGAGTGGTGCGATGTGGATGCTGTTTGCTGGCAAGTGCACTTGTGGTTAATGGAGGTCAGATCTGCTAGTTACATCGATTTTCAGCTGAAGTGATTAATCGAGGGTTGGTTTATGGTGCAAGGTTTTGGTTGTTATCATATATACTGAAGCATTTTTGTTGTGTTTATGGTTGCGCTGTCAGGTAGTTTTCTAATTTGTCTTTTGTTTTTATGCTGCTATTTGGTATTTGTACAGTCTGGTAATTTGTGCGAGTTTCGAGGCAGTCAGTGGCGGGTGGTCATGGGACAGGCTGACGTGACAACGCCAGGGCTAACTTTTGTGGTAGCAGTTTTTTTTAGTGATTTAGGCAAGGCTTTAAGATAGATGACCTGTGATATGGAATTTGTGTTACACCAGCAGACGAGGGTTTGAGCGTTTTATAGACGATATATGGGATTGTTAACCATTGAGTATCAAAGTGATAGATATCTATGTGTTCTACTAAGGTGTATGATAGAATCTTTAAGATTGGCTTCTGTTATTAATTCAGGTTATCTTGAATGTTGCGAGAATGTCATTAGATGGGGTTGGTGGAGTGTATATGGTTGCGCATCGCAATTGGGTTAGGTTTGCAATTTTTTATCCAAGAAAGGGTATTGATGATAAGGAAAGATTCTTTCTGTATATTTGATGTGTGATCCAAGACTAAACCTAGTAACGTGGGTCGCCAGGGAGGGAATTGGGGTAAGGACATTTGATGTATTGGTCCAAAGGTAGGTTTGGGTTGTAACATTGTGTAGGTAGGATGGGTGCGGGGTTGAGTTTGGGCAGAGAGTAAGTTGGTAGATAAGTGTAAAGCTGGTGGGTGGGTGTGACGCGGGTTGATGAGGTCTAGTGTAGCTGTTTTCATTAGTTCTATATGTTCTGCAGTAGATTCTCTATTTTACAGCTTGTGCTCTTTTTGACCTGAGGATGGGATTTGGGGAAAAATATATTAAGTGAGTAGTTAGGTGGTGGAGGGTGATGGAATCGGTTGGGGTTGTAAGAATTGGGGTATTTATTTGGTTAGTGGGTGTGGGTGCAGGCTTGATAATGAATCTTTGGGTGAGGAAATAGAACGTGTTGTTTGATAGTTAGTTTCTGTCGCGAGATGAAGGTTCCTGTTATTGGTAACTGTCTATTGAAACCAATATTATGGACATGGGTGTGTGTTGGATTTTGGGTGTGATATCTGAGGTATTGGTGTGGGAGTCTGTCTCTCTGCCTTAATGGTTAGGTTGGGATTGGTTAAGAGTATGTTGTTTTTGGGAATTATGGGTTTAACTTATGCTACTTTGTATCCGCTCTCCCCAATGATCACCAATGTCGTTCTCCATTTAGGTCGTTTGTATAAGTGGGGTAGTTCCTTTAGAGATCGGAGTCTATTTTATCCCACAAAAAGGTTTTGTTTGTTGCAAAACTCCTGTGGTTGGGTAATCGGTGAGGGCATCCTGTTTCCGGTCTTGCGTTGGCAGTTCAGGGTTGCACTGCCAAGGTTGTGATAATTCAGTGTTATGAGCTGCCGTCTCTAACAGTCTAGCTATGAAATTGCATTTCCTATCTTTTCTCCATCCCAAATGGAAAAATGCAACTTAACGCTGCTCCCCAGCTAAAAGCCCTGAATCCAACTAGTCCCAAACGATCTGTTCAGGCGCTCCAGCCAAAATCCAGTGGTTTCGCATTATCAGACAGGCCGATTGATCAGGTGGGGTTTTTCCGAGCCCAATTATAGACTGTTTGCATCCCCGGAAAACTGATGGTTAAAGTGGGTTAGGAGACTGGGGGAGGGAGGGAGGGAGGGATTTTAGGTGAGAGAGTGCGGAGAGAAGAGAGAGGGAAGGGACAGCGGGCGATGAAGAAATTAAGAAGGTCGTGAAAACAGGGGTGAGAGGGAGGGAAAGGGCAGAGAGGATGGAAGGGAGCAGAAAAGAGGTGAGGGTGAGGGAGGCAGGGATGATGGGGAGCTGACCTGACTTGTGGAAAGAAAAATCCTGAGCAAATAAGCCAGAATAGCCCTTCCAATGGTGCTGAACCCCACCTTTGGAATGAGAGGAGATTAATTTAGAAAATTCTATCATTGCTGGAAGGTTAAGTATTTGAAGCAATTACCTCTCAAAATCTGTCTCTGCCCCTCCTTTCTCCAACCCGTTTTCCCTTTCCCTTTCCCATCCCTCCATTTCTTTCTGTTTGGTTGTCGGTGGTTCGTTGCCAGAGAGAGTAAGCCTGCTTTCCATGGTAACGGACTGAGCAGATGAGGCTGAGCTACTTGGCCAGCTGGCAGCGTCCTGTCCTGACCTGTGTGTGTGGTGTGTGTGTGTGTGTGTGGTGCGTGTGTGTGTGTGTGTGTATTGTGTGTGTGGAGATTGGGTTCTTGGGCTCTAACAAGAGAAAGGAAGGATGATGATTTATGTTGAGTCTCAATGGCAGCTGGGCAGACCACTCGGATGAAGCAGTGTGTGTATGAGTATGTGTGTGAGCGGAGTTGCTTATTAGCAATGCACCCACGTCCTTTGGTCCATGTCAATTAAATGTCTCATATGTGCTTTTTTCTCTCTCCCAAAATCCGTCTCCCTTTCCTCCCTTCTCATTTAATCATTTCAATTGCAATTTTAATTCAATATGACGTTTATTGCAATGAATGTCAGGTGAACGATATTGCCGACAGTGTCAACAATTAATCCAGGCATAATGAGATGAGAATATCTCTCTCTGCCTTGTTCTTACACTTGAATTTAGCCTCCACGCCTCATATCTGTTTCCCCCCACACCTGCTTATCAGTGTCGGCGTGGTGATCAGAATTGGTGATATCAACCATCACCATAGCAATTATACCTGGTGCTGCAACACGAAGGCGAGAGGGACTGTATCATAATGAATTCTACTGAACGCGGTTATAAATAAACATAAACAAAACAGGCAGTCCTCAAAGGAGGAAGTTTGAAAAAAATGTTGGGGAAAGATTATGGTTTGGGAAATAGGCTAGATTTAGTTTCATGCTGAGAGCAGATGAGAAGATGGATGACTGCTCTCATATCTGCTGTATATCCATATCCATGTAACATAGGCAAGCCTAGGGTCAGAAGACTCATGCAGCCTTTGAGCATAGAGTCACCCCTCAAGGTGATGAAACC